AAAAAAAAAAAAAAAAAACACATTAGGATCCATTACAGTATATAGTTGGAAGTTTTCAATTAATTATATTTAACTGCCATAACAATCAAAATTCAGTTTTTAAATACTCTTCTAATTACAAGAGGATTATTATAAACATTTTGACAATATATCAGTATTAGTAAAGACTATATTTAGTCTGCTACCCCACTCAGGAAAAAAAAAAGTCAAGGTCAAACTAAACAAGTATTAAGATTAAAAGATTAGTATAAACCCATCTGAAGTAAGGACACAGGTGCTGAGAGTATTATATGTGTCTAACACCAATATACTCTCAGATCTTGAATATAGTATTAAAGCCAGCATACCCCCATGCAAGCTTCTTCTTTTTCCGAGCTTCCTGGGAAGCTTCTGTTTCCTGCTTGGCTTTTACAAAGTTGCGACAAGCTACAGCCTTGGCAATTTTCACACCCAGCTAAAAAGTAGTGAGGAAGAACAAAAAAAAGGCAGTCAATAAAGGCAAATGGTTCACATCAAACACCAGGCCTACCAATGCATTGCTCAGCGTTAGATTATTTCTTAACAGCCAACAGGGGTTTTGATGTCTTTTGGGTATTAAAGACAGATGTACCCTAAAGACTAAGCAGAATGAGATTTTTCCAGGGAGAGATCTAACTTCTGTAACAAATGTTCATTTAGTCCTTGTTTTTCTGTCCAAAACGAAAAATAAGTGAAACTTGTCCCCACCTGCAGACCCTTATCAACCCAAAAGACAACAGAGTTAAGGAAGTTAGGGAAAAAAGAGCAGTGATGTATTGGGCTCTTACTAAATATTAAGATTTTCTATACAATCACACCTGATTATCTTTTACAAAATAGACTAGATGTAAATTAACTACTCTTAAAAAAAAGTCCATGAGAAGGGCAATGGGGAATAGCTTCTGTACTTGTCATTACTAGGGCACCTGCCACCACCTGGTATTAGTTCCTGATGCATCTCATTAAAGAATGAAAATTATATCTTCAAGCCACAAACACAGAGAAAAATGTTGGTAATGTGGAAGAGTTTAGAGCCAAATACTAGAAAAAAAAATATGCATTTTTATTTTTAATCACTGAATAATGAAATGCTTGAAGCACTGAATGTTATTAGACAGATGAACCTATGATCTCAGATTTTTCAATAAGATAAGCAACATCAGGCCTTATCAATACACTAGAAGAGGAAAACCTAGCATTCTGGAGAAGTGCCACTGCAGTAGTCAAAACTCTGTCGAAGATTAATGAACCAACTTCCCTGCTCATCACTAATGGGCAATATTATATCTTCTAAATGAAAAGAGACCAAATTCCTGAGCACACCTTAAAACCTTTTATAACACCTTTTTCAGGAAGAGTAGCTTCAACGGCGCTGGTCAAAGTGTTAATTTAGAAAATTACATTGTACCCATTGTCAAAACACTCTTTGCTTCTAGTTCTCCATTACTGCAGTCCTGTAGATCAGGCCTATCCAACTTCTAAGTCCCCAAAGGCCATACGCTGGACAGATCACCAGAGTACACAGATGCACCCCCCTGCACTGCTGCCCCACATGGGCAAGATCTCCAGCCCTTTTAGATCCCCCATTCGACACAGCCCGGCCTCACCCTCAGCTCCCAGCACCGAATCAGACTGCCCTGCCTCCTGGGGCGAGAAGGACAGGAAATGGCAGCCAGGAGGAAGAGCTGGAGTCCAGAACTACTATTGCAGCCAAATCAATGAGAGGCAGCAACAGCCAGGTGAGAGCCAGGGGAGTTGGGGTGGGGGGATTTGGGCTGCAACTTAACACTTCATGTGCTCCCAGTTGAACAGCCCTGCAGATATTGCATACTGTTCAACCATGATCACATTTTACACAAAGCAACTTAAACAATGTATTTTGAGAGAACATGGGATATATGTTAAGATAATGCAATGGCTGTTAGGTTATTAATTTTTAATAAACTTGCATGATATTCAAATAAGCTTCTGGCAGACTAGAAGCTGAATGCCACACAAACTTAGTCTCTAACTGAGAACTGAAAGGAGACCAGAATGTAAGATCACCCAAAGTGGGAACTGCTAGACAATAACAATTCTGAAATACAATCAGAAAATTATTCTCATCGTTTCCAATCCTGTACTGAATGCTCCTTAAGTTCTGTTCACTAGATGGATTTTGTGATATCTGTGCATAAGTAGAGAGAATACAAATATAAAATGAAAAAAACTGCACTCTCAAAACCTATGCTCTTTTAGTATAGTTGTCTGGGAGAACTTATTTCACCAAAATTGCCTTAAAAACATTGGGGTATTCACTCAACTGTCTATGTCCTGCTACAATTATACCCTGAGCCTGACCAAAAAGTCAAGTCAATGAACATCTTCATAAACACTGCCCTGGCACTTTTCCATATAAAATCAAAGAGAGGAATGAGTGAGTGTAAGGGTCCAGGTAATGTTCAAGGCCAACTGCTGTCATACATGAACTGAGCTACCATTTACACTTTTGGGGCAGGGGATGGTGGGAACCTACCCATGTAAAACTACAGGGCTAAGCCCAAAGAGTGCAGTGTTTTCACATCTAAACTTACAAGGAAAGCTGGCTATTGCACAATGATTACATATGACATAGTACTGGTACCTGCATTTTATCGCTGACTGTGTAACAACAGCAGCACCTGATAAATTAGACAGGTAGTGGATTGAAACTGTTTCTTATTACACAGAATATGCTCCTTTTAAATCTCCACTCTGCACCACTATTTTACCTACCTGTCATATTTTGTGATAAACCTAGACTGTGAGCTCTTTGAGGCAGGAACTGGCCTGGTTGATTGCTGAGCACTCCTAGCACAAAAGGGTTCTAGCCCTTGAGACTAATCGGCACTGTCATAACAACAGCTGTAAAGCAAGAATTAAGCACCCATAACAAAACCAAAACTTCTCTCTAATCTAGTTTTAGCATGAGTTTGTGCCACGGATGTCTTTATGGAGTCTTCCTGATACACTAAAAGTCAGTATTTAAAAGTACTTAATCATTTGCATCATTAACACTATGATTAAATTCTTGCCTGGCTGTTAATAAAATACAATCCAACATATTATACAAACCAGCAATTCAATATACTGACACCTGCACTCTAAAATCTGAAGTTAGTTGCAAAGATTTTCTCTCTTTCAATTGTCAACATGCAGCCATTTAAGCACAACTACAAATCTTGACATACTTTGCTATAAAAAAAAATCCTAGCAACCTAAATCCTAGGTACATTTACAAATAATCAGAACTAGCACAATCTTGAAGATACATCAGAAAAGCAGATGCACAATAGATTTAAATGCAACAATAGGTATGTGCATGAAAAAATAAAACCATTTTAACCTCAAACAGAGCAAACCAGATGATTTAACTGACAAGAAGAGCTGTGTATTTAAATATGTCACCTCTGGATTGTATTTTGCCATGGGTATTAATCCTTCTAGTTATTGCCTTGAAATATAGTGCATTCAAGCAGGGCTTTGATATTAATAGACAAGCCAATATATAACTGAGGTCCGTACAAATATCTGGAAAAAACCCAACATCTTTTACTCCATATTTCTTGGAAGGCTGAATGAGAATCCTTGCATCTTTGAAAATTATGGGACAAGAAGATCCTCCATAGTGGATCTGGAAGGATGGGAGGAAAACACTCTGCAGCATTATGTTATCGCTTATGGGCTACATAAAACCCAGTTTGCAAAACATGAAAACAAGTGTTATGTATAAGCATTCAAAAACATTTTATTCAGCTTAAGCATCATCTGCTCCCACCCACACCCAGACGTACATCTTCACTTCCCCTCCCCAAAGAATTCCATAAAAGCTTGGCAAAGGGTTTAACATTAAAAAAAACATTTCAGGTCATCAGATAACTCAATAAAATACAATGTTGTAAGAAGTAAGAAAACATGAATAAAAATATACACAACAATTTCTTGTGTAGGCAAAGTATCAGCATTTTCCATATAGAACACCCAATATTTTGCTGCATTTTAATTAAGGTGTCTAAACATTATCACAAAGAACTGCAAATTGGTCAGAGCACGCAGTAAGGAAAATTAAGCTCTAAAGGCTTTTTATCACCATATTTCAGGAACCAAGGGTGTAAAATGTTCTAATTTGGGATATATTAAAAGCCATAAAAGGTCTTTCAAAAAGATTAATGGTACTTTGCTTGGATTTAAGATAAGGGCTTTAGCTGGTTGGAAAAGCAGGGCCCTGGCTAGACCCTTGAGGCATTCATCTTTACAGCCACTTGGAAGATTTGTAAAAGCGTCTGCATAACCTCAAGCAAACGCACTGCGACATTTTTTTTTAATTCCTTTCAATTTTACAGGTTTAAAGTGTGTAAATCATATTGGGTAGTAAAGTAGATATAATGGTTCATCCTTGTAACATAGTATAGATTTTTTAAGACAAACTTTTTAATCAACTTAGTTTCTATGTGGCAAAAATCCTTCCATTTTCAAAGTTCACTGATAATTGTTTCAAATATCTTCCTTTAGGACCGTAACGTAGCATAAATGCAAACTTCTGAGCCATTATGTGTCATAATTTTTCTTTGCTCATCTGAAATTGTTACCTTGCAGTATTTCTGAAGCATCTCTTCTTTCTGAACGGTTTCAAGGCACTTATTTAAAAATACCAATTATCAGACTTTAACTTTTTATGGAATAACAGGTCCCCATGAAAAATATTTATGCTATTCTCTTTTGTTCTTTAATTAAATGAAAACAGATGTTTTCTGAAGTAAAGCGGAACCATTACTGGAGTACTTAAAGTGTTAAGGTCTTTAATTTTTATATCAGTTCGGTCTACAATTCCTGATTGTCTTTACTCAAGCTCAACATTAATGTCAAGCAAGTTACCTAGGAGACGAAAGAGATCAAAGAGACAAAAAACCCTCAAATGTCTGATTAATCAAGCCTGCAAACAGCTTATTTCTTTTAGCCTGCATGCAAGTATGAAAATGAGATTCTGGGAGCCGTACATTGTGCAGATTTGTTCATTCTTATCAGAACAAAGCCAGCGGCAGCTTATTTCATGGATCATTGGCACTGTCATCAGTGCTACACAGAACGGGTGACAGCTCCTCATTTTGAGGCTTGAACAAAATTAGCAAAAAGTCGGCACAAATTAGCCTCTCATCTTTTTAGTAATATGACATTATTCATTTACTTTTTATCCAATTTTTAATTTTTTCGTTGTCAGCTATCCCTTTCTAGTGTTTCTTGCACAGCATCATAAAGCACTTTTAAAACAAGCAGAGAAATGGCTGAAGTTAAAATAGTACTGTAAAGTTCAGGCAGAAAAAGAGAAAACATTTTTACTGAGCAGTAACAGACATTTACTGTAACTTTCAGAAAACTTTCCAAAAACCTTCAGATATTTAGCTTGGAATATTATGCAGC